GGGGGGGGGGGGGGGGGGGCTCACGGAGGCCAGCTCGACTTGCTGATTTTATTGATTCCTTTTGCTCCAACAAGGCAGATGGGGCTGAATTAAAAACCGAAAAAAACACCCAAAACAACCCAAAACCCAGAGAAGGATGGAAAGAGGGAGGTGTGGGGGGGGTTGCTTATCCCTATCATGGGGATGCTGCTGCGAGGGGGGGGGGACAGGCCAGCCCCCCTGCAGCACAGGGGGGCTGGGGGCAGGCAAAGCCCAGGTGAGCCCCCCAGGGAAGAGCGGTGCCCGTGGGCTGAGTGGGACAGACACCAGGGCTGTGCCTGGACCCTCACCCCGGGGGGGGGTTTGGCCCTGACCCCTTCCTTCACCCCCCAACAGCGTCCCCCCCATGGCACAGTTCATCTCCCCCCCCATCCCCAGCTCGCAGGGGTCCCAGGTCAACATCCCCCACCCATCCCAACAGGTCCATGTCTCCAGCCAGGGAGCGGGCTGGGGGTCCGAGGCACAGCCGGGGGGGGGTGAGAGGGGACACCCATCCCTGGCCTCCCCGGTGGGTTCGGCGAGTCCCTCGTCGGTCCTGGGGCAGCAAGGGTTGGGGAATTTGGGGAGGGGGGGTGTTACATGAGGTCAGTCCTCCGCCGTGACGCTGGGCCGGGTGGCCGGGCCGGGGGGCGACGAGGGGGCCGGGGGTCTCAGCTGGGGCTGCGGGTCGGGCTGGCTTCCGTGCTGTCGCTCACCAGGCACTCGTTGGACTTGAGGCTGGCCAGGGACTTGCAGCTGGGCAAGGAGGCCAGGGAGCCGCAGAGCCCCAGCATGGAGGGCGTGGGGTCCTTCCCTGTGGGCACAGAGTGGGGGGTGTCACTTGGGGGGGGGTCTGCAGCCTCGCACCCCAACCCTGCCACCGGGGGGGACGGGATGGGGATGGGGACCACCTCTCTGGGAGAGACCTGGGTGTCCTTCACAGCATCCCAAGTATGAGGAGGGGGCTGCTGGGGGGTCTAGATGCCTGGGTGTGTGTTAAGGGACATGGTGAGCCCCATGGAACACCCTATGGTGGGGGGGGGGTCTTACCCAAGGGCCCCCAGGGCTCGCCTTCGCGCTTGCCCTCGCCCAGGCGCTGGGAGTCGGAGCTGAGGCTGTTCTCGGCCGAGAGCTGGTCGGTGCTCACGAAGCTGTGCCTGCGGAGGGACGGCGCTGAGCCCCCCCTGGGGTCGGGACAGCCCCTTCTCCCCCCGTCCCCTGCCCGGGGCAGACCCCCCCGGGGCGGGATAGGGGCGCTGGGCACAGGTCGAGGCAGTTCTGCCCCCGCCAGGGGGGTTACCTCCTGTAGAGCTTGCCGTCCGAGCCGCTCTCGTTGCCGTTGAGGGTCCCCAGCGAGGGCCACTGGTTCACCAGGGGTGTCACCATCTCCTTGGAGAGCTGGGTCAGCTGCGGGTTCTCGCAGGGGATCAGCCCCGTCCTGTGGCAAAGGGGGGGTGCTCAGCCCCTGGCACAACCTCGAGTGCCGGGGATCTGCTGGGCAATGCGGCCCATGGGGCATATGGGGCATCAGAGACCCACCACGTCCCCCTGGGCATATGGGGTGCTGGGGACCCTCCACTCCCACAGGATGTATGGACACCAAGGACCCACCATATCCCATAGGACATATGGGGCGTCAGGGACCTACCACATCCCCCTGGGCATATGGGACACTGAGGACCCTCCATGTCCCATAGGACATATGGGGCATCAGGGACCCACCACGTCCTCTTGGGCATCTGGGACACTGGGGACCCTCCATGTCCCACAGGACGTATGGACACCAAGGACCCTCCATGTCCCATAGGACATATGGGGCATCAGGGACCTACCATGTCCCCCTGAGCGTCTGGGACACTGGGGACCCTCCACGTCCCATAGGACCTATGGGGCATCAGTGATCTGCCACATCCCTCTGGGCATATGGGCCACTGGGGACCCACTATGTCCCATAGGGCATACAGGACTCCAGGGACCCACCACGTCCCTTGGGCCATATAGTACACTGGGGACACTCCATGTCCCATGGGACATATAGGACACTGGGCATGCTCCATGTCCCACAGGACATATGGGACACTGGGGACCTTCCACGTCCTACAGGACATATGGGGCACCAGTGGCCCACCATGTCCCACCACACATATGGGACACTGGGGACCCTCCACATCCCACAGGACATATGGGACAGCAGGGACCCACCATGTCCTCCAGCACATCTGAGGCATCTGGGTACCAGGGACCTGCCACCTGTCACATCCCATGGGGCACAGGGGACGTTGGAGACCCACCATGTCCCACAGGACATATGGGGCACCCAGGCACTGGGAACACCCCACACAGGGCATATGGGGTGCCAGGGACCACCACTCACCCTGCCCCTCAGGGTCAGTGGGGCACTGGGGACCCCCCACCCACCCAGAGCCCATGGGACACCCAGGGACCCCCCACCCATCATGCCAGGCCTGGTCCCCACTCACAGCTGCTCCTGCAGCTCCAGGATGACGCCCTCCAGCTCCCTCTTCTCCAGCTGGTTCTGCACCATCACCTCCTCCAGGCGCAGCTTCAGCCGCTTGTTCTCCGCCTCCAGGTCCTTCAGCTGCGACTCCCGCAGCCGCACCAGCTCCTCCAGGTACCCCTGGGCGAGCCCACCATCAGCAGCGCCCCACTGTCCCCACCAGATCCCCCACCCCGTGTCCCCAGAGCCACCCAGAGTGACAAGAAGAGGGCTGGGTCACCGCAGCAGCCCCACGATGGGCTGTGGGTACCACCAGGCTGTGGGCGCAGGGATGCAGCGGGAGGATGCTCCAAGCTGGACCATCCTTGGGGGGGTGGGGAGGGAAATGGGGACCCGCTGGCCCCATCCCGGCTCCTGGTACCTTTTGGGCATAAACGATGCGAAATTTCTGCTCCATCTTGCGCCACTTGCTGTACCAGCTGTCCTCGTCAGTGACCAGGGGCAGGTAGGGGTGCTCGGGAGAGCTGTCCTCGCTCGTGCTGCTCTCCACGCTGCCCCGCTCCTCATCCTCGCTCAGGTAGTCGTAGCTGGGGGGGAGAGGGGGGAGAAATGGGGGCTCAGCAGGGACGACATGCATGGGGGGAGCCCGGCCGAGCCCCAGCGGGGTGCTGGGGGAGAGACAGTGGGGTCCCCACCCCCCCAGGGAGGGCACCCCGGCTCTTACCTCTGCGTGAACTTCAGGTAGGGCGTGTAGTCGATGACCACGGGCGTTTTACCGTCCATCACCTCGCCCTTCAGGCAGAAGCTGAGCGGTGGAGGAAGGAGCAGAGGGTCAGGGGAGCCCCAGAGAGGGGGACAGTGGGGGGGAACCATCCCACCGTGGTGCCCACATCCCACCGTGCCACCCACCCCCCTACCTGAAGTCGATGGCGCTGAGCCCGATGAGCATCCCCATGAGCACTGTGGACTCCTCCCGCAGCATGATGGCCCCGTCGTCATAAAACCGCCTGGGGGGAAAGATGTGGCTGCAGCCGTGCCCCCCGGCACCCAGAGCCCCCCCCTCACCCCCCGCAGTGCCCACCCTGCCGACCCTTAGCCCTCCTGGCACGACACAGGCATGCCGGTGGCCATGGCTGGTGGCCAGCAGGCTGCTCACCTGGTGGTCCGCGTGTCCCGCAGGGCCGTGGAGATGTACTCGGACATGCGCTTCTCCATCAGCGCCACCCGGATCCAAGCCCGGCCCTGCAAGGCCCGGGGGTAGCCCTGAGGATGGGGGCCACCTTCTGCTGCTCCCCCACCACGCTCTCCCCTGCCCCCGGGGCTCGGGCTCCAGCAGGTGGGTGGTCCCCACCCAGGAGCTGGTTTTGTCCCTGGTACCCACCCCACAGGGACCCGCAGCTCCTCTTTCACCCCAGTGATTCCATGGGGCCCACTGGGGTGAGATGGGGCTACAGGAGGGCAGAGCAGAGGGGATGGGAACCAGGATGGGAATGGGGATGGGATGGGATGGGATAGAGAAGGATGGGAATGGGGATGGAATGGGGTGAGGATGGTGTTGGGATGGGGATGGAATGGGAATGGGGGTGAGGATGGTGTTGGGATGGGGATGGAATGGGAATGGGGGTGAGGATGGCATTGGGATGGGGATGGAATGGGAATGGGGGTGAGGATGGTGTTGGGATGGGGATGGAATGGGAATGGGGATGAGGATGGCATTGGGATGGCGATGGAATGGGAATGGGGGTGAGGATGGCATTGGGATGGGGGTGGAATGGGAATGGGGATGAGGATGGCATTGGGATGGCGATGGAATGGGAATGGGGGTGAGGATGGTGTTGGGATGGGGATGGAATGGGAATGGGGATGCAATGGGGATGAAGATGGTGTTTGGTTGGTGTTGGAATGGTGTTTGGATGGCATTGGGATGACGTTGGGATGGCGTTGGGATGGCGATGGAAGGAGATGGGGTTGGGGAGAGGATGAGGATAGGGATGGGATGGGATTGTGGATGGGGATGGGAAATAGGGTTGGGAATGAGGTGAGATGGGACAGAGATGGATTGGGATGAGGATGGGGATGGGTCCCCATGCCAGGGACAGGTTATGTATGGAAACAGGTCCAGGACTGGGCATGGGGATAGGGACAGGGATGGAGCCATGGAAGGGATGGAGCCAGAGATGGAATAGGGATGGGAATGGGGACAGGGACAGGGCAGGGGGTGGCACCTTCCTGACCTTGGCCCTGGAGGTGCTGATGTTCTCCATGTTCTCGATGCTGCTGACGCAGTTGTTGGGGACCTTGCTGCAGGCCAGGCGGATGTAGTCCCAAAACCCACGCTGCCCATCCGAGCTGAACCAGCTGACGGGGCCTGCGGGGACCGAGGGGCTGCGGTGGGGGGGCTCCCCATGGCCAACAAGCCCCATTGGCCCAGAAAGCCCCACACCAGAGCCCGGACACACTCCCTGGTGCCAGCACACGTGTGCATCCCCATCCACCATGATGAGGACATGGAGAGGGATGGGGACAGGGACAGGGAGAGGGATGGGGACGGGGACAGGGACGTGCCAGGAGCTCTTTGGGTGCCTCATGGGCCATGGTTACCTTTAAAGCGGTGGCTGAGGATCTGCTCGAGGATGGCAGCGAAGTTAACGAACTCCTCGGAGGAGTCGTCGATGGGCTCCGCCGTGTATTTCTCCAGCAGGGTCTTCACCGAGAACCTGGTGGGGACGTGGGTGTCACGGGTGGGGAGGGGAGGGGTGGGGACACCCAAACACCCCGCATCCAGCACACGTCAGCTTTCGGCAAGAAATGGTTTTTGCAGAGGTTGGCTCTCGAGGCCGGCAGCGGGAAGAGGGCGTCGGGCTGAACCACGGGCTGTGGCTCGCTGACCCCATGTGTCCCCACGTCCCCGGGGACCCCGCCGGGGCGGCCGCCGCTCCCCCACCGTGCAAGTGGCCAGGAAGGGCGAACAAAGGCCCCCTTCCTCCCCGGCCGTGCGCGGGCGGTGATGGCTTCCCCTTCCGCCCGGGCTGCTCGTGCTCAGCCGAGAGAGATGCCGAAGACACAAAATCCACCCAGCCCGGCAGGACAGCTGGGGACGGGGCAGGTGTCTGCACGGGGAGGGGGGACACACCACCCCGTCTGTGGGTCACGGCCGCATGTGGGGAGGGTGAGACTGGGGATCCCCATGAGGGCAGCTGGAGGGCACCTCGTCATGGCAATGGGGGATGGAGGTGCCCCGTGGCACAACAGTGAGGTCTGGAGACATCCTGGTGGCAGGATGAGGGGTCTGGAGGTGCCCTGTGCCATGGCAAGGAGCCCCAGGGTGTCCAAAGGTCATGACAGTAGAGTCTGGAGGTGCCCCATGGCATGGTGGTGTGGTCTGGAGACATCCTGGTGGCAGGATGAGGGGTCTGGAGGTGCCCTGTGCCATGATAAGGAGCTCCAGGGGGTCCAAAGGTCACGACAGTAGAGTCTGGAGGTGCCCCGTGACACAACAAGGAGCCCAGGTGGGTCTCCGCTGGAGACATCCTGGTGGCAGGATGAGGGGTCTGGAGGTGCCCTGTGCCATGGCAAGGAGCTCCAGGGGGTCCAAATGTCATGACTGTAGAGTCTGGAGGTGCCCCATGGCACGACAAGGAGCCCCGGTGGGTCTCCATGTCATGACAGCAGGGTCAGGAGGTGCCCCATGTGATGGTGAGGAGACCTGGGGGGGGGCCATGTCATGACAGCAGGGTCTAGAGGAGCCCTGTGCTACGGGGAGGAGCTCTGGGGGTCCCCATGTCACGACAACGGGGTCTGGAGGTGCCCCGTGAGATGACAATAAGCCGTGGAGGGTCTCCATCTCCCAACAGTGAGATCTGGAGGTGCTCTACGCCATGGTGGGGAGCCCCGGGGGTCCCCATGTCGTGAGAGTGGGGTCTGGATGTGCCCCATGCCACGTCAAGAAGCCCTGGGGTCCCCTAGACCCCAAAGGCAGGACCTCGGGGTCCCTAGCATGGTGACCCCAAACCTCCGT